TGGAGGGAGAACCATCTGGGCGTTCTTTCGATTTCTACGTACTATATGGGACACCCAAAAGGAAGAAAAGGGTACCTCGTTCTGAGAAATACGGATCTCCTCCAAGGATACTGCCTCCCCCAACATGTTGGGTAGCTGCTGGAGAAAGTAACTTGGAAATCTGAACCAGTGATGACTATGTCATCAACATACACTAGTAATGTAACAAAGCTATTTCTAGAGCCTTTAGTGAATAAAGAGTAATCAGATTTGGATTAGTGAGAGCATAAGAAAATTTTGAAAAACATTGTTATGAGGCCTGTTTCAGTCCATGTATGGATTTATGTAGCTTACAAAAAAAAAATGCTCCATTGTTTGCCAGATGAGATGGGAGGATCATAACCCAAAGGTAAATCCATATAAATTTCTTCAAAGAGATCTCCATGAAGAAAAACATTATTGACGTCTAATTAGATTGCCACTTGTCGATGGCTGCTATTGCTAAAACAAGCTTTACAATTACCAATTTTGCAATTGGAGAGAAGGCTTCTATGAAGTCTAACTCCTCTTGTTGAATGTATCTTTAAGCCACCAAGTGCGCTTTGTATCTATTAACACTTCCATCAGATTTGAACTTAATTTTGTACACCCACTTGCAGCCAATAGTATACTTTCCTCTAGGCAAGTTGGTAACATACCAAGTTTTATTTAATTCCATTGCAACTAACTCAGTAGCCATAGCTTCCTTCCAGTGGTTATACTTCATAGCCTGGTGATAAAATTGAGACTCAAAGTTTGAGGATACATTGAAGAGAAAGGTATTATGAGACCAAGATAATTTTGTGTAGGCAAGATAGTCACTTAAAAGATAACGAAAATAAGAATGAGGAGCGGAAGAGTTAAAAAAGAGATTACTATGAAAATCTTGTAGATATGAAGGAGGTATACTAGTCCTAAGTGATCTCATTAGAGTGGGTTTAGTAGGAGTTGCATATTGGATTGTAATGGGCTCTAAGTATGGAGGACAATCAGGAGTCAGATTATTAGCCAGACCATAAGTAGGCATATTAAGTGCGGGGTTTAGGCAAAACAAGGTTAGGAAATGGTTAGTGGTTTCATGAGTGTTTGGGATAGGATGGAAAGGAAAAATGCTCTTATGAAATACGACATCTCTTGAGATAAAAATGGTTTTGGTAACAGTATCATACAACTTTTATCCTTGATACCAGGATGATAACCAATAAACACACAAGCCCTTACTCTAGGATGGAACTTTAGGTGATGAGAAGTAAGGTTGATGCAAAACACAAGCTTCCAAATACTCTAAGAAAGTTGAAGTCCAGTGGATGACCTGTAAAACAAGGAAAATGGTGCTTTGTTTTGTAAGATTGGTGAGGGAGTTCGATTGATAAGATATGTTGCTATGAGCACACAATCTTCCTAGAATTGAATAAGAATTTGTGACTGAAAGAATAGGGCTCTAGCCATATTAAGTAGATGTTGATGCTTTCTCTCAACAACTAAGTTTTGTTCAGGTCTCTCTATGCATGAAAATTGTGGATTACACCCTTTGAGCTAAAAAAATTATGTGAAGTGAAATTTAGGAGCATTATTAGACTTGAATACCATGATAACTTTGTAAAATTGTGTTTCAATCAAACTGAAAAATTTAGGAATAGTGATAAGAACATCTGACTTTTATTTCAGGAGATAAACCCAAGTAAATCTTGTACAATTATCAACTAACGTAAGAAAATACTTGTGGCCATTGCGTGTTGGAGAACTATAGGGACCTCAAATGTCATAGTGAACAAGGTCAAAAGCATTGGAGGATAAATGATCATTGAAACAAATAGCAATCTTCTTTACTTTGCAAGTGTACAAATATAACAAGGAACATCATCAGTTCTTTTATCGTTCTTAAAATGTAATTGATCCTTCAAAGATTCCAATCTTTTAAAGGACAACCCTAATGACTAAATCAGGGGTGAGTTACACTTTTAGCAAAATATACAGGAATTCTGGTGTGATTAGGCAATGTGATAAAGGCATTCTGCAATGACTACAATGTCTGAAAGTGTGCATGTCTAAAACAAACATGATTAGTTTCCCTTGAATACAACACGCAATGTTTAGGGGAATTGAATATTGGATTAATGGAAATAGACAAACATGTACCTCACACATGACCTGAATTAATTCCTTCACCTTCTACCTTGGCAGCTATGAGGTGTGTGCTCATTGTACTCAGTAGATGTTGGTATTGGTCAAGATTTAATATTTGCATAAAGTTCCCAACATTGCCAAGAGTTTGATCTAAAATAGAACCAGAAACTTGTTTAACAACAACATTATTTGAGTGAGCATCATAAACTATTATTTGATTGCTTAAACCAAGTCCTACTTGATTGTTTGATCCATATTTCTACTTTGTCTTATATCCTGGCAGATATCCATGGAGTTTGTAACATTTATCAACAGCATGCCCTTCATATCCACAATAGGTGCATATTGACATATCCTTCTTTTGATTTTTACTATAAGGTTGCCCCATATTTGTCCTTTTTTACATAATTTCTAGCATAAAATGCCAAAGAATCAGTGGTTCCAGCAGTCATATTAACAACTCTTTAGTGTTCTTCCTGAAAAATAAGTGAAAACACTTTATTTGTTGGGGGAATTGGATTTATAAGTAACAATTACCCTTTGACTTGAGCATAAAAGTCGTTCAATCCCATTAGGAACGACATGACATATTCAATGTGATAATGCTTAGCCGGCGTTTTGTTTCATCCACAATTACA